TTCAAGTTCAATCATACGAAAATGCACGATTTTAAAAAGGAGGCGTGGCACCTAACCCCGCCCCTAAACCCAACTGTCATTGAGTGATGAGAAAATTATAATAAAATGTTCAAATTGGATTGTACGAACTTGTATGAATTAACCACTAAATCATAAAGTTACGAATTGCTGTGAGATTGCGTTGGTTTATATATCTCACTTTTAATCATTTGAATGTGTTTGTGATGATTATAAATGTCAGTTTTCAAAAACAAATTATTCCGTAGTTTTGCATTGTTGTATAAATGTTTGCATTAGTTTGTTTATCCATAGAAACACTTTCTTCCTTCTAATTAGTTCTCTTACAATTCTGTCCATATATCATCAAGTCACATGTCCATGACTGTCTGGACTGTATAATAAAAGAGATTGTATGGCTGTGTGTATTCAGCTAAAGGTGCAGCGTTTTGTGAATCGGTGACCCGTCAGCATTCAGAGGGAAGGGTGGGTGGTGTATTTGAAGCTGCGTTAAACATTTGATGCCGCCACACCTCTCCCCCTCTCCAAATTAAGCAAATCACCGGGCCACTCCGGGCAGGAAAAGGAACACGCGTCATAATTGTGTGACATTTGGGTAATGACCGTTCTGACATTTCAGACTGACACCTTCTCCCTCTTGCTTTTTCTAGCCTTTCTTTTCCCACCTTTTTGCGGCAGAGGCTCGTGTATTTAAAGGGTAATGATACAGACTGACAGCTTTACGCTTTAAACGAACCAGTCACACACACACACACACACACACAAGCACACACACACACACACTTGAGATTCTGTGCTCTTCTTTCAGCCCAAAGAGCCTAAGATGTCATCAAAGGAGAGGGGAAAAAAAGAGATTGTATGACCTATGTCATGTACTCGCTAACAAAATATTGACTTACCGCGAATAAATCAGTTTAAATCATCTCTTGAAATTGTGTGAATAGTTTATATACACTCACCGGCCACGTTTTGACTTTGAACGTGTCATGTTTGTTGGTGCCAGATGGGCTGTTCTGAGTATTTCAGAAACTGCTGATCTACTGGTATATTCATGCACAACCATCTCTAGGGTTTACAGAGAATGTTCAGAAAAAGAGAAAATATCCAGTGAGCAGTAGTTCTGTGGGCACAAATGCCTTGTTGATGCCAGAGGTCAGAGGAGAATGGCCAGACTGGTTCGAGCTGATAGAAAGGCAACAGTAACACAGTCAGATCTCAAAAACCACTCGTTAAAACTGAGGTATGAAGGAGAGCATCTCTAAATGTACAACCTCGAACCTTGAATCGGATAGGCTACAGCAGCAGAAGACCATACCGGGTGCCACTCCTGTCATCTAAGAAAAGGAAACTGAGGCTATAATTCAAACAGGCTCACCTAGATTTGACAATAGAAAATTGAAAAACGTTGCCTAGTCTGATGCGTCTCGGTTTCTGCTCAACATTCAGATGGTAGAGACAAAATTTTGCCTTGAATCAACGGTTCACGCTGGTGGTGGTGGTGTAATGATGTGAGGGATATTTTCTTGCCACACTTTGGGCCCATTTGTACCAATTGAGCATTGTGTCAACACCACAGCCTACCTGAGTATTGTTGACCATGTCCGTCCCTTTATGATCACAGTGTACCCATCCTTTGATGGCTACTTCCAGCAGGATAACACACCATGTCATAAAGCGTAAATCATCTCCGACTGGTTTCTTTAACATGACAATGAGTTCACTGTGCTCAAATGGTCTCCACAGTCAGCAGAACTCAATCCAATAGAGCACCTTTGGGATGTGGTGGAGATTTGTATTATGGATGTGCAGCCAACAAATCTGCAGCAACTGCGTGATGCTATCATGTCAATATGGAAAACAAAAACAGTGTGATTGGTTGCTTTATATTTTTTGGTACATTTTTTTCCTGACTAAAGGTCCATTGACACAAAGGTCAAAAATATAAAATTTAAACATAACGATAATTATATTTGTGTCCACACCAGCAATGTTTTTTGTTGTTGTTTGTTTGTTTTTTGGTATTTATCCCCTTGTAACCAGCAGGTGCCCTCAGTGTGCTACTTTTCTAGCACATTTGTCCAGTGAATCCAGTTCATGTAATCAAACAGTGAATTTAGCAATCTTAATCAGTGTCGTGTAATAAAAACAACAAAAAGAAATCCCAGAATTTTAAATGGAGGCAACACAAAGATGCCAAAACTAGCACTGGATACATGTGGTGCTTTTATTTTTATACTTCAGTTTGTTAGCTTCCATGTAATACAAATTTTTATACAGCAGTTCTGTCTGGTTGAATCTGATTGGCTGATAGCCATGCGATATTCTGCAATATCAGAACTCTTACAGCCTCTTCACTCTTGTGTATTACTCCGCCAACCCGAGTGGCAAGCAGAGGACAAGAGTTTGAAAAATATTGCAGCTGTTGGACAACTACTTTTGAGGCTTTTTTTAAGGTGAGAATGTTGTTTTGAAGCAAAGCAATAACAGTTGACGTTGTCCATCAACAAGATGGTGACAGAGACCGTATAATAAGCCCTTAGAGGAGAAAAAGTCAGCGTACAACTACAAACTACAGCTGATAAAATCATTTCTGGTGACATTCTAAGTCGATCTCTCTCTTTTGTATGTTGTAGTGCCATATGTATATAATAGTGTATACACATAGTAGTGTATTGAGTCTGAGATGGGACTAATGTTTAAGGAATGTATGTTTTTTGTGTTGGCCACTTTTTGTATAACCCTGACTTTTCGGTTGGCCATCTGTTTGTTTTTAGTGTGTCTCCTGTTTTCGTTACTGCAGACTAGTTAAGTAAACAGAAAGAAAGAAGAAATGTCCACAATTTTTTAGCATTTTTCCTTATTGCAAACACGACAGTAATCTGGTAGTGATTGCATTGCTTTGACTTTTTCGGGGTTAAATCATGTGATGTGATTACAACAGAAAAATACTGGGAAATGTCTGTAGACTGATGGCATTTTATGCTGTTTTGCCTTATAATCTTAAAATGTGAGCAAAATCATCTATTTTGCCATAATTTTAGACATTACGCTAGAGAATTGTTCAAATAGTAGCTATAAAGTGATGTTTGTGAAGTAGCAACAGTTTCTGCTGTGCTGACGTGCCAACACACGCCTCCTTGCAGTGCCGATATACAGCCATATCGCAGTGATACTTGTGTGATATTGTTCATGTATCACTTCTTGTTGTCAAGATATACCTTATCTTTAAATAATTTTTAAAAAGATGATTTGACATCAAGAAGTGTGCAACTTCACAATGTTTTCTCTAGCTTTAAATTGTGTGAGCTTTTTATATTCCAACAGATTGTGACTGGCTGTTTTATTATTTATTAGCTGGAGAAAAGAAAAAACACTCTGAAAGTGTTGCCAATGATATTATTTCTCTACATCTTTACAAAAGCTGAAGTCTGAGCATTCAGAACAATGTTGAGAACAATGTGAGAACATTGTGTATTTATCTTTATAGTTATCACTTATGGTATGAACAGCCCTTAAGTGTCTTCTTTTTCTTATTTCTGTACAAAATATTTTGGAGACAAGATTGTATGCTGCAATTGAAAAGTCAGTCAGTGGACTTTTAACAAACTGGTACTGTCCGCTGTCCTTGGTGCTGAAGTTATCACTGTTTGATTCTTATTAAAAACAACACGTTTCTTGTGTGAAAGTCTTAGACTACTTTGTGTATGGAAGCACCTTACATTTTTAGGACACAGATTCTAAAACTTCTATGTACACATTCAAAATCTTTCCTTATGCTTGTTTTTATTTTGAATTTATTAGATATTTTAATCTCAACATTTAAAGTTTAATATTCTAATAAAATGCAGCATTATATATTATATTATATTATATTATATTATATTATATTATATTATATTATATTATATATCAACGATTTAGAGATTATATGGAGAATTTGGTCCACAATCAAATGGTGCATCCTTATAATCCTAACGTTGACGTTTATCCGACCAGACAACTTTTTCCCAGTTTTCAACTGGGCAGTTGAAACTGTTTGGGCAATTGGAACTCAACAGTTTTCAATTTTACTGAGCCCATACAAGTGAAAACCCTTAGTTTCCTATTCTTAGCAGACAAGATCTCAGCATACTCTTCTGCTGCTGTAGCCCATCTGCTTCAAGGTTAGACGTGTTTTGCTTTCAGGAATGCTTTTCTGCTTGTTGAATCAAGTGAATATTTGAGTTTATTTTTGCCCTTCTATCAGCTCAAGCCAGTCTTGGTGTTTTCCTAAGGTGCTAAGGCATTTTTAGCAACAAAATCTTCTTTTTCTTCAGACTATATTGATTATACATAAACATTTCAGTAGATTGTTTGTAAAATATGATAAGCATTATGTATTTTGTGAAATGGGATGACCACTAAACATTCATAGTTCATATTCTTTGCCAGGAAAGTTTTAGATGAGTGTATAGTTAATGTAGAATTCAATTATTAAATTACTGAAGGGACGTTTACACAGACATTCATAAATGTCTACAAAATCTTTTTAATAACATGCTAATTTCTAATATTTTTAAGTGATTATGTTATGCGAATACATTTTCAGCAATTGCCAAAAATACTTTTTATGGGTTAAAATGGTGGATTTTTCTTTCATGCCATAAATCTTTACAATATTAAGTAAAGATTGTGTTCCATAAAGACGTTTTCTTACTATTTGAATGTGGATTTTCTTACTATTTAGGTTTCTTTGAACCCTCAGATTCTAGATTTTCAAATAGTTGTATCTTGGTCCAATATAATCATATACTAATAAACAATACATTAACATTTTTTGAATGATGCATCAGTCTAAATGTTTTACCAATTGACCCTTATGACTGGTTTTGGGCTCCAGCGTCATTGTAATATTTGTCAAGGCAGGGTGAGATATCTACCAGCTACTTTAGTTAAAGACATTGAGACCGAAAAAAACTGACTGTTTAAACATCACATTACAGGCACAGGGGAGATAAGCAAGCCTGCAGTGTTATGGGTCATGTACTTCAACATGAGGGACACGTCAGCCATGGACAGCAGCTGCTACAGCCTACCGAGCAACGTCCACGTGTGCACTGGTCCTGATGCTGGACTGGGCAGCGACTACTCCATTAAACTGGTGAGTCTAGCAGAGGGAGGCAGACTCTACACTCTGTGGATCAAAAATAGCTTCTAGGCCATATCATTCAAGAAAAATAGGATTGTTTCTGCTTATTTTTCAGGCTGAATCAGTATTTCACTGTCTCCTCCCTGATGAGGAGTTCTGCCCGCCTGCACCCAACCCTGAGGACATCATCTATGATGGTGACGCTCCACAGGCTGAAGGACCAGGGTTTGATGAGAGTAATGACACAGAAGCGAATAAAATCCAGGCAGAGGAAGAAGGAACCAGCAATGAGATGAATCCTGAGAACTCTGAAGCAGCAGAGATGGTCAGTGCTGCGCAGGAGACCACGCTGGACACCAATCCACCGTCTGAAGAGTAACTTCTTTAGAGGTGTTTGATTCACCGAGCATGTGAATTCACAAATGTGTCATGTTCTGGAGGGCCAGTAGGTCTCAAAGTTGACGTTTTCAATCCTGTTATGTTCTTTTTATATATATTTTATGTGCCTTTCTTTTGCATTTTCACACTCTACACCCTTTATGCCATTTTATTTTGACCGGTAACTGTAAAGCAGGTTATAAGTTCGCTTTCTAAAAGCCAAAATGCTGTTCTTTTTCTTTTATTTCAGAATGTGTTCTCAATTTTGCATGTTCCAAGCAAGGTGCCTATTATATATATTTATTTGAATGAGGAAAAACACACTTGATTATGGCAAGGGATTGCTACTTTAAATTTTGTAAAGACTCATTTTTGTTACAATCTTCAATTTCAAATGTCTATTCAAATGCTCTCTTGTCTTAAGTCTGTTTTGCATCATTACATCCATTAAACCGCTATAAATATATCATGCAGAAATGGTTGCAGGCATTAAATCTTTAATTGACAATGTGTTTTGGGATTTATGTCTTCATTGTTTGCATGTTTTAAATCCACTGCTAAAAGCCTAGCTCTTTATTTTGTGGATGGCAAATACAGTTAAAGTCAGAATTATTAGCCCCTTTTTAATTTTTTTTCTTTTTCTCAAATGATGTGTAACAGAGCAAGGACATTTTCACAGTATGTCTGATAATATTTTTTCTTCTGGAGACAGTCTTATTGGTTTTATTTTGGCTAGAATAAAAGCAGTTTTTATTTAAAAAAAAAAAAAAAAAACATTTTATGGTCAAAATGATTAATCCCTTTAAGCTATATATTTTTTCAATAGTCAACAGAACAAACCATCATTATACAATAACTTGGCTAATTACCCTAACCTGCGTAGTTAACCTAGTTAAGCCTTTAAATGTCACTTTAAGCTGCATAAAAGTGTCTTCAAAAATATTTAGTAAAATATTATGTACCGTCATCATGGCATGAGTAATTAATAACTTAACTTATATTTTGGGTGAACTAACCAATTAAATTATTTGGTAACACTTTACAATAAGGTTCATTAGTTAATGCATTTACTAACATTAACTAATCATGAACAACACATGTACAGCATTTATTATTCATAATTGAACATTTACTAATGCATTAATAACATCCAAGTCTATGCTTGTTAACATTAGTTAATGCACCATGAGTTAACATGAACTAACAATGAACTATTGTATTTTCATTAACTAACGTTAACTAACATGAACAAATACAGTAGTAAATGTATTGTTCATTGTTTGTTCATGTTAGTAAATGCATTAACTAATGAACCTTATTGTAAAGTGTGACCAATTATTTTTGGTGTGTTTGAAAACCATGGAGTTGGAGTTTCATTCCGCTGTGGTGACCCCTCATAAATCAGGGACTAACCAGAAGGAAATGAACAAAAATCATGGTTATTCCACCAAATACTGCTTAATTAACTACTGAAGGTACTGTAAGTGTAATGTATTCAGCTCAGAAGAAACATGTTTAATTTTTTACACCTCTACATAAACATCTGTCACACTAAATGTCTGTGGAACATTTTTGGACATTTAATGTTCACTAAAGGTATTTGAAACATTAGCCACTTAATTTAAAAAGTTGTGTATTAAGACACATTTATAGTCTCTTTCATAAAACACACTCCAAATTTACCCAGAATGTTACAGTATCTATGCCCCAATAATTCTAAAACCCTTAAATTATGTAATGCTACTGTATACATTTGCGTTTACTAAACATTCTTAGTTTGATTCGTTTAATATATAGCCTTGTACTTTAAGCTCCCTTTAATGTCTACATTAAATGAGCACTCACTCTGTGGTATTTACAGTAAGTTAATAGTGTCCTTCACTAATATGAACTGCTTTCAGGGCAAAGCGTCAGTGTAAACAGTGACGGCGGCCATTAGCGATGCTCCTCGAGTACAGTTTACCTGCCATGAAGAAGCGAGAACAGGCGGGAGAGAAGGAGCACAGTTTGATGACATTTGGTTTGCACTGCCATGGCTGAACAGATGGCTCATTATGGCTGCGAGTGCACAGTCGTCCCTCACAGCGCTTGCTGTCTTTGTTTCTGCGGAATTTGATATGGGCTCTGCCGAGGGTATTTACTCGTTCTGGAGGGGAAGAATTACTGCAGAACACATGGCCCAGGTTAGTCCTAGACCAGAGAAAGTGCGCTGATTCCTTCAGTCGGCCGGGAGTAAAGCACACCCCTGGCGGCACTGACGACTGTTTAGAGTCGAGTCAAGAGTGATGTGTGTCACAAATAAGACACTTTCTGGCTTAATTCACTCGGTTTGTGGGGTGCATGGTATATTGTGTAGGTTTAGAATGCAGAATACAACATATTTTTGAATCTATAATTATGATAATGTGGGTCGTCGGGGTCCTTCCTAAAGTAAACACCTCAATTTCTCTGAGAACTTTCAGGATTATTTTATCGTTTATACTGATTCGGAAATGACAAGCTTTAATATTACTTTATTATTAAAGTTTATTTACTATTTATTCAGCATAGTGTATTATTTAAGTGTATCATTTAATTAAATATTAGTAATCATGTCTGGTTAAATAACAGGAACCATTTACTGTAGAGTTCATTTATGGAAATCCTTTTATTATTGTAACCTATATTTTCTTAAGCTGTATAGGTTTATGTCTAACATTGTTATTACAGTTTACTATTTATTCAGCATAGTGTATCATTTAAGTGTATCATTTAATTAAATATTAGTAATCATGTCTGGTTAAATAACAGGAACCATGTAGAGTTCATTTATGGAAATCCTTTTATTATTGTAACCTATATTTTCTTAAGCTGTATAGGTTTATGTCTAACATTGTTATTACAGTTTATTGAAATTAATGAACCAGTTATTTATTTATATATCAGTAACACATCCCTTTTTTGTTTTTTAAAAATATGTTTTGTGACAGACCTGTTAGATTTGGTATTTGTGTAAACTTTAATATCTAAAACTCTATTATGAGGCTTACTGTAGAAGTGTAATAACTTGTTCATCATAATTTAAATACACGTCAGTAACTTATTCCATTCTTTTTTATTTTGTTAAGAAAAAAGAATCTTTGTGATATCCCTGTTACTGATTTGAGTTCATATACATTTGAACAGTTGGCATTTAAGTATGTGGCTTAATGTAAAAGTGTAATAAACCAGACATAATTTAAATATCATCGCATATTTTGCTATTTAGTGAAACATGTAATACTTCAGATTTGGAATTTATTTATGTATATTTCAATCTTAAAACGATTAGAATTGTTACACTCTAAAAAATGATTATTTGACTTTACTTTAAATACACGAGTAAACCTGATGTTTTAGGAAACATTCTACCAGCAACATACATTTTCACTTATAACAAATGTGGCAGGGCCTGATTTAAGCTTGTCGTCCTCAGCACAAGCATAAAGCCATAAAATTCAATGGTAGAATGCATCCTTTTTTGTTTACAAAAAAAGTTGACAAGCAAAAATTTGATGGATAAGTTGGTAGTTCATTCCACTGTGGCGACCCCGAATTAAGAAAGGGATTAAGCCGACAAGAAAATGAGTGAATGAATGAATGAAAAACAAGAGAAAGAAAGAACATGATATTAACTTGAAGGTAAGACATTTAAGAATCAATAACAGTATACAGTTGAAGTCAGAATTATTAGCCCCCCTGTTTATTTTTTCCCCAATTTCTATTTAAAGGAGAAAATATTTTCTCAACACATTTCTAAACATAATAGTTTTAAAAACTCATTTATAATAACTGATTTTACAATATTTTTGATTAACTGATTAAACAATATTTTACTAGATATTTTTCAAGACACTTCTATACTGCTTAATGTGACATTTAAAGGCTTAACTAGGTTAATTAGGTTAACTAGACAGGTTAGGGTAATTAGGCAAGGTATTCTATAACAATGGTTTGTTCTGTAGACTATCGAATAAAAATATAGCTTAAAGGGGCTAATAATATTGATCTTAAAATGTTTATTTTTTTTTATTCCTTGCTCAGTTAAACATAATTTGGGAATTATTTTAAAAAAGGAAAAAAAAATTGAAGGGGGGGGGGGGGGTTAATAATTCTGACTTCAACTTTAGATTAAAGTCATTATAAAATGAATAGTTCTGTTTGCTTTCTAATTCTTAGATAATGAATTTAAACGTAAATAATGAATAAATTCTTGCAACAAAAAAAAAAACTGAAAAATATAGTTTGGTATTTAATGGATATGGAATTTACTAAGGAAATAAATTAAATTTAAAACAAAACAAGCATTTATCTTAATAGAGGCAGATTAATAATAATCAAATATATATTTATATATATTTCTTTAAAAGTAACAGAAAGATGTTGCTGTATAATTTATCATTAATTAATGAGCCGATATGTTTCCAAAATTGAACAGCATAATTACAATCCCAAAATAATTAAAAAACAGTTTCAGTATGAAATTGACAAAATGAACATTTTAAATCCATATTAGAATTAAACTTTCAAAAAATGTTTAATAGGATAAAATGTGTTGATTAATTTAAAAGACTTCTTTAACCTTGTTGGTGGGGAAATAAGACCATATTTTTTTTCCCCATGAACGCATCCTTAATCACTGTCAACTCCTCCATTCAATAATGTCACGTCATAGCCTTAACCTCTTAAGGCCCGAGGTGTTTTTACATGCATTTTTTTATTTCTCTTTGCTATTTGGGCTTTGTATCATCTTTTGATATGATCTACTTTTACAAAAAAAAAAAAAAAGATGTCCATATATGTGGACTCGTGGTCCGAATTTACACAAAACTTTTTCCTGAGAGTTTTTTAATGCATATGTAACATATACATTTTTATAACATGTTTTGACTATCAGAGAGTAAAAACAACATTTTGGACAGTTAAAAAATAGTGTTTGGGACATTTCATTTGCTGAAAAACATTTGCAGGATGACACTGTATAAACAAAATATAAAATATTGAAAGTATTTTAAATAGCCACTTACACAGCAAAAGATGGGGACCCAAAACAACTCTATGGGTGTTAATTTCAACCCTTTGAAAGTGTCTCATGGGGTCCACTCAAAACAGAGTTAAATCAACACTTTCAAAAGGGTTGGCACATTGACACCGAAGTAAGGGTTAATTTTAACTCTGGGCAGAGTTAAAAAATTTAACTATATTTAACACCGCCTGGTGTAATATATTGTTATTTTATTCAACTCTCTTGAGTGTAAATATGGTAAAAAGGTCAAATAGACTGTAAATTACAAAATAAAAAACATTTTATTTGAAAACATTCACCACTTCAACAATTCATTCAGTTTTTAAAATGCAACAATGTCAAATATGCTTTAAATGTTTTATTAGTACAGACAGTATCAACAAAATATGTATGACCAGTGCTCAAAAAGGCTGTTTCAGTCCTTTGGTCCAAACTTGATGTTTCATCAGAGCCATTTGAAAGTT